TATTTTCTTGGGGGAAAACTTTATAAATGGAAACCTCTTAATACCATAAGAGACTGAATTTAAATACTTTTACTCTTTGAAAATGCCATGCCTGGTCTTCCTTATTTGTTATATTTCTAAAGTGCTTTTCTTCCCAGGAAGCTCATTACAAACTGTCTCCTGACTGTATTGAATTCAGGTCCTTTGCAGGGGAACCACCCTTCAAAATGCACCAGAAACAGATCAGAGAGCTGGCAAATTGAGGTTGGGAGTTATTTTGCATGGATATTGCATTTTATGAAGTGCGACACCATTGTTTATCATTAAAGATTCAAGTTCTTTCACCCTCTCAGGCAGAATATTCTCAGCTACGAGCTTGATTCAAACTACAGTAGACAAGTTGTAGATTTCTTAGAAAGTGAACTTCTAATGGAAATGCTGACAATCCATTAACAGCAGGAGGGCTAATGGCTGCCGCAGAAAATATACTTAAAGATTACAGTAATAAAAACACATATTTTAAAGTACCTGCTAGGAGTTCAGGAATGTTTTTAAATGTTGCTGTTAATAATAGGCCGCCCAATCCTTATGGCATTTGATTTTGTCTCACAAATGGGTTTAATCTAAGGGAGTGCTGTTGTAGTGTACCTTTTTTTTCTGTTGGACTTTGAGGGGGGTTTGATGTCTTTAGGCAGAATCATCAATGCCCTTAATGGAAGGTAAATGATTGGTATATTAGCAGATGTGTGGAATTTTAAATCTGGAAAAGACCTGAGCAGTCAGCCAGTCATCTATTATTATATTTGCCAGAGGAAACTTAGGACTCTAAAGGGCTAGAGCTTAGGAAAAATGAGTGTTGGGTTGGGGGGTGGGGGAAGTGTTATTGGTGATGTGTCTGAGGCCTTAGTAATTCCTTACCAATGTCATTATTGTAACACCTGCCCTTCCGCCTGATCTCTCTGTTTGGGTTACCTGAGTTCTTTCTTCCTACTGTCCTGCTTTTTTATGATGAAAAAAGTAATATATATTCATTACAGAACTATTAAAAAGTAAAGAAGGGACTGAAATCACTCGCAGTCTCATCACCCAGCGCAGTCTACATTAAAATTTCGGGTTATCACTCCCATCTGTTTTCCATCTCTGTATATGTACATTTCTTCTACAAACTTGAGATTATGCAGAACATAGTGTTCTAAAATCATTTTGGCTTTGCAGTTGCTAATGAGTGTTTTCTCGCATGATGAACTATTATTTAAGAACCTGATTCTCCTCATCCGCTTATTAGATCATCTTGGAGTTGCACAGATTTCTCTAACCTGGTTAGAGAATTTGCAGTGTTGTGTATTTGCAGTATTGCATTGAATACCATTATACATGACAAAGATTTACATTTGCAGTATTGCATTGAATACTATTATACATGATAAAGATTTACTTATATCTTTGGTTATCTCCTCAGAAAATAGAAGTTTTTGCATCTATTGCCAAATTACCCTTCAGAAAGGCGTTGCTATTTTATCCTCCTACCAGCAGTAACATGAATGTGGCCCTTTTCCTGAGCCTTCAACTAGCTGTCACAAAATTTTAAAACTTCAGCAATCTGATATATAAAATGTATCTCATTTCAGCCATTTGCATTTGTTCGATTACTAGTGATGCTGAACAGTTTTTATAGCTCATTTACAAATTTCTCTTGTGACTTGCCTATATAGGCCATATGCTCTTTTTTTTTTTTTTGAGACAGTCTCACTCTGTCGCCTAGGCTGGAGTGCAGTGGCACAATCTCGGCTCACTGCAACCTCTGCCTCCCAGGTTCAAGTGATTCGTTGCCTCAGCCTCCCGAGTAGCTGGAACTACAGGCATGCGCTACCATACCTGGCTAATTTTTTGTATTTTTTAGTAGAGACGGGATTTTACCGGGATGGTCTCGATCTCCTGACCTTGTGATCTGCCCACCTCGACTTCTCCAAGTTCTGGGATTACAGGTGTGAGCCACCGTGCCTGGCCCATATGCTTATTTTTCTACTAAGGTTTCCACTTTCTTCTCTTTGATTTACAGGCTCTGTGTATATACCAAGATCTATAATTTTTAGGTAAACGTTGCAAAAATTTCTGCTATATTTTCATTTGCCTTTTATCTTATTTCATGGTGGGGTTTTTTTTTTTTGAGTACAGAAATTTTAAATTTTTGTGTAGTCAAATGTCAATCTTTTCCTTTATGGTTTCTTTGTTTGCTTTTATGCTGACACCCAAAGGTATTTTTAAAACACATATCTGATCAGATTCCACCCTTGATTAAAATCTTTCTGGGGTTCTTGAGTAGGAAATCCAGCCTCCTTGGGTGCTCTAGGTCCAGACCATTGCCACCCCATGGGCATTTGGGGTTCTGGTCACACCAAGCAACTTAGACTTAGTACTCCTTACTTAGCGTGCTCTGCTTGGAAAGGCCATCCTCTGCCAGCCCCCATGGACCCACTCCCTATCGCCACCCACCTCTTCCTGGGCTTATCAAAGACCCAGCTGAGACATGACACCTCTTCTACACTCTTCTTCCTCCCTTTCCTCCTGTGTAGCACCTGGTCCCCAAAAGATATCTGTAATAGTTTGTAAAATGAATAACCCAAAAGACAAGCCAAGTCTAAGCTGGCAAATAGGAGAATTGGCTTTCAGGGCAAGTTTAGTATCAAAGGATTGAACTGAGTGGCTGGGGGGCGGTGAGGCTCAACTGTGAGCAATTGAAAGACCCCAGGCAGCATGCTCAGGAGTCAGTGGGATGCAGCGTCCAGTGGGGTGCGTCAGGGAAGGGCTCAATTCTGAAAGCACCCAGCGACCATCACCTGAGGTCCCAAACTGGCAAACAGATCTTAACCACTGAAACCTCCTTGCACCACAGTCTTCCCCAAACTGGCAAATGGCATCACTGCTTTCCAATTTCTCAGCCCGAGACTGGAGTAACTTGATTCCTGTTCCTCCCACATCCCATGTCCCATCTGTCAGTGAGTCCTGTTGGCTCTACCGTGAAAACATAGCCAGATCATATACTGCAGGATTCCATTTTGATGACATTCTGGAAAAGGCACAACTGTAGGGACAGAAAACAGATCTGTTGCCAGTGACTGGGGGAGGGGAGACTCCAAAGGGTCGCGAGGGAATTTGGGAGCTGACAGGACCCTCCCATGCGTTGGAGTGGTGGTCACAAAACTGTATGCATTTGTCAAAACTCAAGGAACTGTACACAAAAAGGGTGAGTTTATTATACCTCGGTAAGAATATGGGGAAAAATATACTAGGAATCCTGCCATTTTTCACCACATTGCCATCATCCTGGGCCTGGCCAGGCTTCATTGCCATCTTAATTTTTTTTTTTTTTTTTGAGACAAAGTCTCACTCTGTCGCTCAGTCTGGAGTGCAGCGATGCTATCTCAGCTCACTGCAAACTCCGCCTTCTGGGTTGAAGCGATTCTCCTGCCTCAGCCTCCCGAGTAGCTGGGATTACAGGTGCCCCCCCTACACACACCCAGCTAATTTTTTTGGTATTTTTAGGAGAGACAGGGTTCCACCATTTTGGCCAAGCTGGTCTCGAACTCCTGACCTCAAATGATCTGCCTGCCTTAGCCTCCCAAAGTGCTGGGATTACAGGGGGTAGCCACCTCATGCAGCCTTGGATTCTTACTGCAATGGGCTCATAACTGGGCTCCCTGCTCCTGCCCCCACCTCACGGCAGTCTGTTCTCAACACAGCAGTTGGAATGGTCCTTTGAAAACAAGCAGCAGATTGTTAATCCTTTGCTCAGAACTCTCCAGAGGTTTCTCTTCTCAGAGGACACTGTATGTAAAATAGCCCCCTGCTATGTCTCTGGCCTGATCTCCCAAAGCGCCTCCCACTCACCCTTCCCCACTAGCTCACTCCACACTGCCACGATGGCCTCCTCCCCTCCTGGGACCTGCTGTGTGGGTCCCCTCAGACTGAAAGACAGAGTTCTCACAATGGCCCTCTGTGGCATTGCCCTCTGTGCCTTCACTGGCAACCTCTTCCTAACCCCCTCCCTTAGTGGCCTGCCTGTGCTTCCCGGATGTGTGGTCCATGCTCCTTTCTTGGGGTGCTCTGTCTGGAGTACGCTGCCCTCTGATTTCCATTCACCTGGTCCCTCCCCTCATCTCTTCCACATTCTTCACCCAAGTAGCATTTTCTCGGCGGGGCCTTCTGGGAGCACCCTGTTTGCAATTGCAGCTGCCCCGCTCCCACCCCCACTTGCTATCCTCTCACCCTCTTTTTCTCACAGACCACAGATACATCTGACATACCATATTTTGTTTATGGTGTGATCCCTCCTCATATCTGTGAGGTCAGCGTTTTTGTTTTCTTTTCCGCCACCCTCCAGTCCCTAGATCATGACTGCTTGCCTGGCTAACCATAGACACTCAGTCACATTTTGTAGATGGAAGAAAAGAAGGGAAGAAGGAAAGAGCGTTAAGAACCAGCAGTAGCAGGGCGCAGTGGTTCCCGTCTATAATCCCAGCACTTTGGGAGGCCGAGGTGGGCGGATCACCTGAGGTCAGGAGTTCAAGAACAGCCTGACCAACATGACGAAACCCCACCTCTATTAAAAATACAAAAATTCGCTAGGCGTGGTGGCACATGCCTATAATCCCAGCCACTTGGGAGGCTGAGGCAGGAGAATCACTTGAAACTGGGAGGCAGAGGTTGCAGTGAGCCAAGATCACGCCACTGCACTCCAGCCCGGGTGACAGAGCGAGACTCTGTCTCAAACAACAACAACAACAACAACAACAACAACAACAACAACAAAACCAGTGGTGACTGTAATCTTGTCACTGCCCCTGAATGTCACTTGGTTCCTTACTATACATAGTCTTGGACAACATGGGATGTGGTACGAGTCTAGGTTTGTGGGCTCAGGAGTTTTGGGGTAGTGGCTCTTCTGCCTGCTTTACCTTTTTGTCTCACTACTGCCTTGGATTGCTAAGTTAACAGATGCCTTTTCTCAAATTTCTCTTTAGAAGCAGATGTTCCAGGAGAGGAGCAGCCGGATGCTGCAGGCCTTATCCCCGAAGCAAAGTCCTGTGAGCAGCCCAACCCGGAGCCGGTCCCCTTCCCGCTCCCCCTCACCCACCTTCTCATGGCTCCCACTCAAAACCTCACCCCCTTCCTCACCCAAAGCAGCCTCAGCCTCCATCAGCAGCATGAGCGAGGGGGATGAGGATGAGAAGTAGAGGCTGCTGGCAGGAAAGAGCCACACCACACAGGATGGGGAGGAGGGCGAGGGTCACAGGGGGTACCTGGGTGGTGTTTGAAGGGTGATAGTCACAGGAGCTGCAGCTCAGCAAGGAGACCCTGAACTCTGCTAAGGGAAGGTCTTGGGACCAGTTCTCTCTCACTCTCCATACAGCTCAAGAGTTGGGTGAGGCGCCGAGATTTCGAGCGGGACAACCTACACAAACCTTCTTAGCATCATCTAGAATCACTCTAACCTTGCTAAGAAAGGATGCAGAGTGCCCCAGAGAGACTTGCGCTGATGGGGTGACTTCTGCTTTGGTCCTTCCACCCACCCCCACCAAGTAAACCACCTGTGGAAGCAGCTGTTCCCTCAGCCCGCTACTTCTGCCTCCGTAAGGGTCCTGCACGTTGCCTCCCACCATCCCAGCTCTTCCAGAATAAAATTGTTTCCAATAGAGGGGGCAAAGTGCTTCTGAAATAGTCAAGTTAAAGAGAAATTGCAAGCTTCTCAGTCCAGCCACTGAGACCTGATATTGGAACGCATCAACTCCTTCCAGTTCCATGAACGTGGCTCACAGACAAAGCCTTGCTTTAGGCCAGTTATCAAAGGTCATCTAGTGTGAACCTTGACTTTTTATTCAAAGGACAGTTTTGTCAAGAACTCCACATAAGGCCTGACGTGCTCCTGGTTGTACTTTCTCATCATTGGTTTCACTGCATTGTTTTGCAGAAATTACCTTAATCTGTGGGAACTGCAACAAAGAAAAACTTCCTAATATATAAAAAAAAGAGGAGCTGCTTTGCTTTGGCTCCAAGTTTAGCAGACAAGAAATGTCTCCTGAAGCTTCTCCTTAAAGGATGCTATTATGGAATGGCTTTTCCCATTTCCGACCAGTTAACAGTTTCATAGACCTCAAGTAACAGTTTGAGGCATCAAACATAGTATACCGATGGGGGTGCTACCTGCACGTATCTGTTCTGTGTATGCTCCAATATACCATCCCTGGGTGTATCCCATGTGCAATATGAGTATATAGTGGTGACATTTTATAATAGACCCCACTCCTGCTCTCCACCCTAATACTCCTCTGAAATCCTTGGTCTCAAGAACCATCTATTCTCTGGTGACTTGGGCACTTTGTCAAGTGCATCCCAGATTCCTGTGGAAATGTTTTATCCCAACCAGGAAATGAGTATGTTGTTCTCGTGGCCTCCTGTAACATTTTTGGTTGAAGGAGAAACTCTGAAGACCTTTTACAGAGAACTGTGGGCTCAGTTATGATCTCAGCATCTGAGTGGTCTAGGTAGTAGCATCATTATCTCTGGCCCTAGGTTTGCCAAGTGGGATGAGGACTCTAGGTATTCCTGCTGAGTTGTCCAAAGTTCCTGCTCCTTAGTCACCTATGTGAAATGAGCAGGGAGAGTTAAGATCTGGAGCCAAACTCTTTGGGTTATTGTCTGGGTATGCCAGTAAAGTCAGAGACAGAGCTGGGGGCTTGTCTATCACAAGAGATTCTGAGCTCTGCCTACAAGTTGTTGGTTGGGCCTCTATTTTCAGAGGGGACGGAATGTCCCTTTCCAGCTGATTCCTTGGGAACCAGCCTTCTAGGTGACAGGGGAGCAACCAATGAAGGAAGGAGGCGTATCTTTCCCCTTTGTGTTGGGGTTGAACTACCTCCTGACCCACCGGGAGATGAGTCCTGTCGGCTGGGAAGCAGAACTATGAGGCTAAGCCGGCCTGGAACCTCTTTGTTCTTGGCACTTTCTCCAGGACTCTGTGAAGCACTCATGTGGGACAGAGAACTGGCAGGAACATGGTGTGTGAGGAAGAAAACTTCCTTTTGCAGGCAAGGCCCACCTAGAATATTGCTCTTCAGAGAGGGACAAGGGCCCCATTCTTCCATTGTGTCCATTTGGTCCCTGTCTTCCATCACACACTCAGGTCAAACCATGCAAGTCAGTCTACCATCCATTTGAGTTAATTGGTACTTGCCACTGTAAAGGATGAGGCCATCCAGGCAAGGGAAGGTGGTGGGAACAAGGAAGAGAACAGAAGGAAAGAAGTTCCTGGAGGGAGGAAAGGAGGATAAAAAATATCTGCTCTCCTTCAACCATTTCAGGACCTCACTTTATGGGTGAGACTCTCGGGAAGACCTTTTTGTGCCCCCACGCCATGACCCAGGGCAGATAGATCCACTTTTACCTGAATTCTGCACTCTGGAGCAAATACTCTATCAGGTCGACTATACATTTGCAGGTCTTACATGCCATACTGACAGGTGCCACTTACGTGACTCATCAGATAATGTCACCATTGCTGCCAATTACGGGAAACAACCAATGCCTCTTCCAGGGATGGGCCCAAACCACACATAAATGGGTTCTAAATCTCACCCTCCTAACCTGCAGTGAGCTCCCCAACCCCATACCCTCTTGAGGCTACAAGTCTACTGAGAAGGAATGGGGAGGATTCTGCAACCCAACTTTTGGCCATCTTTTAGCCTTTCACAGCCCCTACCCCCACACCACCTTCCTGCTCCCAGGTGGAGACCAGGTTGCATTTTGTTAGGGCTGGCTGGTCAACCGTAATGGCCAAGAGTGAGTTAAGGCTGGAATGAGAAATATGGGAAGGGTACTCCAAGCTTGGAGGGGTAAGTAAGAATGACACAAAGCAAGGGAAGAGATTCTTTTTGCCCTAGTGAGGAAAGGAAGCTTCAGACTGAGGAGGGCTAGAGGAAGCTACTTAGGACTGCAGAAGAGGGCAGCTTATGAAGATGGGAGAAAGTGGGACTGAAGTAGTAGGGGAATGGGAAGGTAGTGATTTTCTGCTCCCTTCCTTCCTTCCTTCCTTCCTCCCTTCCTCCCTTCCTTCCTTCCTTCCTTCCTTCCTTCCTTTCTTTTCCTCCCTCCCTCCTTCCCTTCCTTCCCTCCTTCCTTTCTTCCTTCTTTCCTTCTTTCCCTGCCTTCTTCGTTTCTTCTCTCTCTCTCTCTCTCTCTCTCTCACACACACACACACACACACACACCACACACACATATTTTTTGACGCAGAGTTTCACTCTTGTTGCCTAGGCTGGAGTGCAGTGATGTCATCTTGGCTCACTGCAGCCTCTGCCTCCCGGGTTCAAGGGATTTTTCTGCCTCAGCCTCCCAAGTAGCTGGGATTAAAGGCACCTGCCACTACACCCATCTAATTTTTGTATTTTTAGTAGAGACAGGGTTTCACCGTGTTGGCCAGGCTGGTCTCGAACTCCTGACCTGAGATGTCTCACTCGCCTTGGCTTCCCAAAGTGCTGGGATTACAGGCATGAGCCATCATGCCCAGCTGATTTTCCGCTCCCTTTCAAGTGTTAACTCGCCCCTAACAGATGAAGAGGTAAGGGTTCCTTTTACACACAACCAAGGTTGGCAAATGCCCACGAAAGATGTGGGGGTCCCTGCCTCTCTAGCTGTTTCATTTCAGCACTTCTACATTAGCTGCTTATGGGGACACTAAAATCAACTGATCACCCCTCCACCAGCTAAGAAACAAGGGTGAAACTGCTGTGCCATAGTCACACTGAATGACTTACTTCTGGCAAGCATGCTCCTGTGTGTTAGGACCTTCGGAAGGCAAAGGAACTCCAGCCTCAAGAGGAGCAGGACACGAGACATTGGCCTGGCCTCTGACCTGGTCTGAGTGGAAGAGACACAGCTTAGGGATTTCAGTTTTGCTCTATGCCTTAGGCTACTAGATACTGTGATTTCACCCCCTGAGGGAGGGACAGGAAGAGCACAGATTTATTTTCTCTCCGTCTTCAGTACTTATTTTAGCATCTAGTCATACCCCAGGGAGAGATGCAAGACAGTGTCACTGGCTCAGCTGAAGCAGATGAGCCTGTCTCTAGCAGAGATGTGCTTGATTCTTAGGCATCCATTCAGCATTAGCCTTGGCTATCAGACTTTTTAAAAAGAAATAGCTCATGAGGCATTTGCAACTTATTTCTAGTTTTTTTCTGTTGTGTCACTGCAGTGTGTCCAGGGACAAAGCCATAACTAGAGCATACATACTTAAGACTATGCTGTACATAGAAGACAAGACGATGACTCGTCTGGGTTAAAGCACGACCTTATGCCCAAGCATTTGCTCTGGTGCTGAATAACGCAAACTACTGGAATCAGCCTCCCCCAACTCTGTGCGTCCCCTACACCCCCCGCCCCGCACTCCTATCCCATTCTTGCTCTCAAATGGACCACACCATTCTCAACTTGTTTATAAATAAAGTGATGCAGAATTGCACTTTTGTGTGTCATTGTCATGTTTCTTAGAAAGTGTGCTGCTGTGTGTTCCTATTTATGAGCTCTAGTTCAGTGGGGAAAAATACAGGCATTGTAGTAGCTGTCCCTGCCCACTGGCTAGCTCTGCCCAGCTGTGGCCCTAACACTTCAGAAGGATGCGACTCTGCACCGTGCAGATCAGGGCAAAGCCTTAGAGTTACCAAAGACCCCACGTTTGGCTTGAAAGCTAGTTAGGAACAGCACCACGTGGAGGGAATTGTAGGCTCTGCTACTAACTGACTTTGTGATGTTGGCCTAACCTTTTCACTTCTTTGACCTCAAGGAAATGATTTCTAAGGTCTCCTTTGCCTGTAAAGGTCTCTGAATGTATTAGGCAGCCTGCATTGCCCCAAGCTTCTCCCAGCTGTGATGCTGTCACTGAACGACCAGGAGAAAGTACTGAACTCTGACATCTTGAGAAGCTGGAGAGATGGTCTTCCAGTCCCCTGGGGCCTCCACAACTTCTAGCATTGGTGACTGGTTTATGCCTTCAGCCTCCATACTTCTAGCATCAAGATAAAATGCTCTCGGGTTCCGTCCACTTTGCTTATCTTGTCCCTTGACGGAATGCTTCCCAAGTGTACCTAAACTTTGAGAAGTGGCCATTTCAATCATTTTTCCATCTTTGGGAAAAAAAAACCTTCTTTGATTAGCTAGACGCAGATGGATGGGAGTGGAGGCGCTAAATCCGGATCCCAAATGTCAGCACCGAAGGCAGATGTCAATGTTCTGAGAACTGTGCTCATGCCCTCCACTCACCAAATTTAGGAGATTCCATTAACCCCATCTGGAGAGGTTGAGCGTTTTGAAATGACTACAGTTCCAACATTAGCCTCGGGTCTGGAATAAATAAAGCCAGGCTGGTAGTCCACAAGGGAATGAATTTAAAAATGGAATACCTATTATTCATACACCATATTATTCGGTTTTGCCACATAGATCGAATGCATTCTTGACAGGTTGTATTTCAAGTCAATGGTTACAAGTTTCTTCTTGATTTCCATGAAACCTCAGACATATTCTCAAGGGGAAAATAATCAGTTACAAGGTGTAATAAAACCCATATTTAAGAACCTTGACATTTGCCCCCAAGACAATTAGACTTTGTTAATGAGGAGAATTCCTGGTGGAAAAGGTA